CATAAGTTTGTGTCAGTCAAAACCACTTCATTAGATGCATCCAACAAAGTAATTCTGACCCATGAAAGCTTGTTCCCAAATAAATCTGCTAGTCGTTAAGGTGCCACGGGATTCCTCATTGTTTTAACATTAGGTAGAGTTACTCATATACTGACAGTGGTAGAATCATAGAATACTAGAACTGGAAGGGACTTCAAGAGGTCATTAGGTCCAGTCCCCTGTCCTCCTGGCTGGATCAAGCACATCTAGATAATCCCTGATAGATGTTTATCTAACCTGCTCTTAAATATCTCCAATGATGGAGATTCCACAACCTCCTGGAATTTATTCCACTGTTTAACCACCCTGACAGTTAGGAAGTTTTTCCTAATGTTGAACTTTAACCTCCCTTGACACAATTTAAGCCCATTGCTTCTTGTTCTATCACCAGAGATCAATAGAACAATTTTCTCCCTTCTTCTTGTAACACCCTTTTAGGTACTTGAAAACTACTGTCATGTCCCCTCTCATTCTTCTCTTTTCTAAACTAAACAAACCCAATTCTGTCAGTCTTCCCTCATGCCTCATGTTTTCTAGACCTTTAATCATTTTCATTGCTCTTCTCTGGACCTTCTCCAATTTTTCCATATCTTTCTTGAAATGTGGTACCCAGAGCTGGACAAAATACTCCAATTGAGGCCAAGTCAGTGCAGAGTACAGCGGAAGAACGACTTCTCGTGTCTTGCTCACAACACTCCCGTTAATGACTTATATGGGCCCAATCCAGAATTCACTGAAGTTGAGGGAAGGATTCCCACTGACTTGCATGGGTTTGGATCAGACCTTAACAGTGTTTGTAGTACAAACATGTATTCCCTGAGGAATTCTGTGTCAAAACCTTAACAATTCTGTACACGCTATTTTAAAAATCTGTACATTTTGTCTGTAAATAAATGTGGAAGCTGACACAGTGCAAGGGCCAGACCTGCCGCGAACAACCCAGGGCTCTGCTCCTCTGAGCCAGCTGTATCAGGTGAGGACAGGCAAGTTCAGCCTGGCAGGATCCTCTTGTAGAGGGACTTAGTATGAGTGGGATCCCGATGTGTTCGGGGCAGTCTGGGTGTGGGCTGCTCAGTGTGCGGAGAGGGGCGGGGAGCTGGATACACACAAGTTCGTTGGGGGTTCTGGGCACAGCGGCAATGAGACTGCAAAGATGGGGTGGTTCAGGGTAAGGTGGCTGGAGCTCTGCAGGGGGCGGTCTGAGTGCAACTGGTCGGGGCTCTGTGAGGTGGGACTGGATGCAGGGGATGTAGGGGTGGTCTGGATGGAGAACGGGGTGGGGGTTTGAGTGCAGGAGCTTGTAGGGAGGTGGGGCTCGTGGGGGGGATCCACGAGATGAGGAGTGGCTGGATGCACAGAGGTTTAGTGGTCAGAGGAGCAGCTCTCTGCATAGGGACCCTCCTTATAGGAGAAAAGAAAGTCCCATCCTCCCTCAGCCCATCCCAGCTGGGACTAGCAGCTGACCAATGATTTACCTTTTCCCCAGCAAACTCTATGGTATGGTTTGAGCATTGTCAATACACAAGTATGCAGCATGTTGAAAGCATGGGGGCAGGGTAAAATAACATGTCTGCAGGCGTGCTGCATCAGTTGCATGGTCATGTGTGTGCAGAATTCCCCATCTGCTCAACTAGTCCTAGGGCAGTGGTTACCAACCTTTTTTTTTACCACGGACCGGAAAATGCATTCACAAACTTTTGGCGGAACAGCAATATTTTATTTGCATATTTTCATATTCATTATGCAAATAATGAATACGCGAATATGCAAATAAAATGTTACTGCTCCATGGCGGCCGCCGGAGCTGAAGCCGGCTGCTGTGCAGTGGTTCAGGGGTCAGGGGCCGTGGTGCACGATTCCCTTGATTACATTATTCAATATGCCTCATGGTATTCAAACAGAGATTGTATTGTGGACTAAAACAGGTTTCTCATAAAGCAAAAAAATTACAAGTCTAATGGTAGAGCAGGGGAAAGACAAGACTAAAGTATTTTGAAGCAAGAGAAGGAGAAATTTTAAAGGGCAGTGCTGTTGGAATAGCTTGTGGACTGTTATCTGTATCCAAAGAAAAATGTGATTTTATATTTTAGTCTTAAAATTGTATTAAAAGAATTGAGAGTTTAATAGCAAAAATGTATATAAACCCAGGCGCCTCATCCGTATTTACAATTGTTAAATTTGAAAAAAAAAATCCAGTACTGTTTGCTGTTTTTAGAAATGTGTCTTTCAGCTCACCCAAACTGAGATTAGAGAGGAGTGTCAGAACTTTGTGTATAGCCACTTTCCCAGTGTAACTTTGTCAAGCTGGGCACAGTCGCTGCCATTTGTGGTTCGTGTCACCCTGAAAAAGGGAAACATCAGGAAGAACAGGGGCTTGCTAAGGCAGTGCCTGGAGATGGATGCAGACCTGGGGGTGCTGTAACTCAATAACTAGGTTAAGTTGACCGATTGCTTTCCTCCTCCCCACCCCACCCCCCATGTTGTGGGGACATTGGAAAGGCTTCTGTGGCACGTGGGGCCCTTGGCTCCCGCACTGGCATCAGCCCACACCCACCTGCACTATAGGACAAGGTCCAAGGGAAGGAGAGATAGGCACCTGAGGAAGGAATTGGCAAGGAGTCACCTAAGCTAGCCAGGATGAGATCCCGAGGAAGGACTTGGGCGTGGGGCGAGCTTAAGCACCCAAGCGTCTGTCCTGGGGAAACTGTCTGCTGGGTCCCTCCCTCCACATGGCATTCTCAGCTGCACACCCTCTCCTGGAGTAAGGCACCAAAGACAGGTCAGCTGCTTAGGCAGCCCAGGCCCTCACTGCTGAAACCATCCCCCCCCCTTTCTGCTCGTTTGTTCCCATGCTCGCTCTTGCCCCTGGCTGTGTTTTGTATGAGAGCTGCGGTGCCCCCATCTCACAGAGTCCAGCCCTCTTCCTGGGGTGTGGGGGGGCCTGCTCTGAGCATGCCTACATGGCGAGGCCCTGCGGGTGAGAGAGGCGTTCCCCTTCCCTGGCCTGGTTTAAGACTCTGGCTTAGGGGCCTACAAGGTGTCAGCTTGAGTAAGGCCTCCAAGCTGCTCGGTAGCTGTAGGGGGAGCATCGCCCTTTAGGTGGCTTTGCAAATGCCAACCAGAAGAAACACAGGAGCCTCCAGGGTTAGGCAGCAGCTTTGAGAGTGTCAGTACTGCCTGAATGTGGACTTCGTCACCTAAGAATCTTTCTGTAGTGATTTTCATGAGTTTGCCTGAGTAAGGGCCATGGGATCCTGACCCTTCACAGCTGGTAAGGGCTGCAAACTTTGTGACTGCTCTTTCCAAGGACAGGGTTAAAAGGAATGCAGCAGGGTGGTGGGTAAAACACCCAAAAGTGCCAGACCCTCAAAGGCATTTAGGTGCCTAATTTGATTTCATTGTGAGTTAGCTGCTGAAATACCTTGGAGGATCTGGGCCTTGGGCTTTTAGCAACCTAAATGTCAATGACTTTCAATGAGTCATAGGCTCCTAAACCACTTGGACACTTTCAAAAATGTTACCCCAAATGGTTGTTGATCTCTTGTAGGGAGAGAAAAAAAAAGGACTAATGCAAAAATGTTCTCCTTTGGCCGGGGGTGATCCTGTGTCCCAAGACTCACTGCAGAGAGGAAGAGAAGGGCTGGGAGATCTCTCTGTGTTCCCATTTAAGTATTTCTCATGACTTATAACCCAGGAGAGAAACGGATGTGTAGAAAACATGTGTGCTTTTCAGAGGGACTCAGTGCATGTTTATACTGTTTTCCTATTACTGAGAGTTCAGCAAGTGCAATGGGAAATGGTAGGTCGGACTCTTGGTATGGCAAGGGCAGGCTGCCCTGGGAATTTTTTGTAAAAAAAATCAGACCCCCCTTAGTGCATCTCAGATGCAGACATTTCTTCAGAAGTATTTTTAAGAGCCTGAAGGGCATGTCATCCAGGCAGGACTCCAGAGATAGGGTGACTCCTATCAGACACTGAGAAATCACCCTCAATCTCCCCTCGATCTGGTGGTGGAAGTTAAACCAGAAGTCTCAAGAAACCCCATCCTTCTCACCCAGCACTCTGCCACAATGTCATAACAGCCTCGACTAAAGACAGAGGTTGAATTTTGTCTCAAAGAATTACCAGCTGCACTGGCCAGTATTGCTGCCCTGCCATGGCACGGTGAGGAGGTCTCACCAATGTAGTTGTTTGTGCGTGGCTGGATGCGTGCATCTGTACAGAAATGCAGCAGAGGTGAAAGCAGTCTCATTGCAGCTTCTGAAAACCAGCTGTTGTGAAGGAGCAACAGGCCTGGCTGGGACTCGCATGCTTTGGAACTACTTAGCTCCTTTGTTGTAGAAAATTAATACAGTAAAATGTTATAGACAGCTAAAGAAAACAAATCAGTAACATTCTTGTAATAACCGCTGCTGGTGTTACATTGGAAAAGAAATTATAATTGTTTCATTGGGGAAAAATCCTGTTTTGTAAGAATCAAAATAGGATTTGTTATTAGCAGTTGGGATTGCTTAAAATAAAGGGAGTCTTTTCTGAAAAAGGTGTCTTTAGTTTTTAGCTTAAAACCTGTGAAAAAATCTACCTTGGGCAGTATAGAGTTTGGCTATCTGCCTAGCAGGCCTGCTTGCCTGAGTCAGTGTGTCAATCATATTTCTTAAGTATAGTGTTCCTGCTGCCGGCTGCAGCTGTGAGTTAGGTGCTTTGAGAAGCAGCATCCAGCGGTACAATTCCAAGGTGATATCGGGAGTTTGCCACATCATGTAATTTTGAGCAGGCCTCCTTGCATGCTGGGTTGGGAAGTGGTCTGCAGATGGTGTCAAAGAGCATAGAAATGTTTCAGCTCAGTTTCATGGCTATAATCATAAACTGTTTCATTAGTGAGAAGCCTGGGGATTTGCTGGCATTTTGGTGACTAGATCACACAGCTCTAAGATAATGATTATTTTTTTCCCCTTCTTCAGGGATTGCTGTCTGCAATATCCCATCTGCAGCTGTGGAAGAGACAGCAGATTCCACCATATGCCATGTCCTAAACCTCTACAGACGGAACACTTGGCTGTATCAAGCACTGAGGGAAGGGACCCGGGTGCAGAGTGTGGAACAGATACGGGAGGTGGCCTCGGGAGCGGCTCGGATCCGAGGAGAAACTCTCGGCCTCATTGGATTTGGTAGGTTGGCAACGTTGGGGGACAGAATACCCTAAACAAAACCGTTTGCTTTTACGGTGATCTGATGGAGTCTCAACCCAAGCAGACTCTGAAGAGCTTCAAAAAGATCTCACCAAACTAAGTGATTGGGCAACAAAGTGGCAAATGAAATTTAATGTTGATAAATGTAAAGTAATGCACAATGGAAAACATAATCCCAGCTACACATACAATATGACGGGGGCTAATTTAGCTACAACTACTCAAGAGAGAGATCTTGAAGTCATTGTGGATAACTCTCTGAAAACATCCACTCAGTATGCAGCAGTAGTCAAAAAAGCAAACAGAATGTTAGGATTCATTTAAAAAGGGATTGAGAATAAGACAGAGAACATCTTGTTGCATCTATATAAAACCATGGTACACCCACATCTTAAATACAGTGTACAGATGTGGTCGCCTCATCTCAAAAAATATATATTGGCATTGGAAAAGGTTCACAATAGGGCAACAAAAATTATTAGGGGTTTGGAATAGGTTCCATGTGAAGAAAGATTAAAAAACTTGAACTTTTCAGCTTAGAAAAGAGGAGACTAAGGGGAGATATGATAGAGGTTTATAAAATTATGACTGGTATGGAAAAAGTGAATAAGAAAAACGTATTTACTTGTTCCCATAACATAAGAACGAGGGGACACCAAATGAAATTAATAGGTAGCAAGTTTAAAACAAACAAAAGGAAGTTTTTCTTCACTCAGTGCACAGTCAACCTGTGGAACTCCTTGCCAGAGGACATTGTGAAGACTAGGACTTGAACAGGGTTCAAAAAAGAGCTAGATAAATTCATGGAGGTTAAGTCCATCAGTGGCTATTAAGTAATGTTCTTATGTAACCATGGAGTACGACTCCTCTCAGGCCTGAGAGCGGGGATGGGCAAGTGGTCGCCTGAGGGCTGAATCCCACTAAACAGATAATTTTATTTGGCTCCCCACACTCCAGCTCAAGGCAGGTGATGCGGTGGTCTCAGGGCCACAGTAGATGTGGGAGGAGGGGGAAGCTGGGACCAGTCCCATGGCAGAGGAGTGAATAATGCAGCATGAATGCTGGGCAGGCTCACTTCCCAGTTCTCTTCTTCCTTCTCCTCCTGCTAGCCTATCATAGGGTTTGAATGGATTTGGTGGCCCCCTGCTACCTTAAGGTTCCCCTTGCCTGGCTTAGATCTTTTGTATCTGCGTGGCTCATGTTGCTACATTCACTGGACCAAGCTGAGCTGTTCCGTACTGAGGTAACTGCAGTCATGCTATGGGTTCCCTCCATTTAATGGCCTTTCTAAGTTGGTATAGTTATGTAAGAACAGAACGCATGTGCCCTGATTGTCCAGCCAAGAATCCAGTTCATTTCCTATTCAGAACTGTTACCCCAGCTGAAAAGGAAGCCGCTTGCCAAGGCTGCAGGGACTTTGGGGGGGGTCCCGGCTCCTCAGTATTGTTAATGAGCCTCTAGTGTCCTCGCGCCCTTTGCCAGTTTCTCCAAAGGATTCACCACACATACTGGCAGCCGTTACAGGCTGTATCTTGCCTCCAGAGTGAAGCTCTGGAGTGTGACCGTGAATCTTTACTACAAATCTATGTCCTCTGGCTAGCGATGATTTTCTTCACAAGCACTGCCTTGGCCACGCCCAGAACCCTTCCATGAATACGCCTGTATGTGAATCTGTGCTGCTGTCCCCGAGGAGCCACACTAGTGGGGCACTGCAGAGACCTCGCTGGCTCCTCGGAGAAGATTACAATTCCCCGCCCACAGGTAACTAACAATCAGGTAGTGTGGTGTTCTCTTCCTCTCTAGCAGTGGCTGGGCCTGCTGCAGCCTTGGCTGACAGTTGAGTCTTCTAGTTCAAGCAGGCGTTGGTCACGCTTTTGGAACCATTGGTCACGCTTTTAGAGCCAGAGGTTCCAGGTTCAGTTCCTGCCCCTGAAGACCCCCTTGCTCTGGCCAGCCCATTTGGGGAGCAAAGCCCAATCCCTGGCCACTAGTGGGTAAGGGAAATTCCTGGCTGTTGCAGAGGAGTGGGAAGTCTGTGTAAAGCCCAGCCAGAATCTGGCTTGCAGTGGAGTGAAAGTAGCACAGATAACGGGCATCGGGGCTCATCGTTTACCAGGTGTAGCGAATGTGCATTAAAGATGCTTTAAAGCTGGGGTGACCTGACGAGAACCTGTGAGCACAGCTACAGAAAAACCCTGCAGCGCCAAGTCTTAGCGCCTGACTCCACAGACTCGGGACCACGAGGCTCGTGCTGTGGGGCTAAAAAGCAGTAGGGGAGACATTTGGGCTCGGGCCGGAGCCGAGGTTCAGACACCCAGCTGCTGGAGGGGAGGAGGTCGTCTCAGAGCCCAGACTCTCGGCCAACATCTACATCAAACATCTACCTGGCTGTTTGCAGTGCTGCGTTGTGAGCCTTGAAAGCCGGAGGCAGGGCTCTGACACTCCCTGCCACAGGGGAGGAGTTTGGCTGTGCTGTGTTACTGATGTTTGGGGGCTGGCGTACTGTAAGACATTGCTGGTGTATGTCACACACGACCATGTCTCCCTGCATGTCGAGCAGTAGGCCAGGCATTGACCGCCAGCAAGGAAGTATAGTCCAGTGGTTAGAGTACAAGGGTGACAGTCTTAAGGTCTATTCTAACAACATATAGTCTTTGTGTGATGCTGTTCCTCATCAGGGCTTATTACTAATGAATCCTGCCAGTACCTCTGCGATGCAGGTAGGTCAGCATCGTGCATTCTAGTCACTGGGGAAAGAGAATAACAAGTTGCCCAGGTCACGCAGCTGGGATTCCAGCTCAGGAGGCCCTAGCGCCTAGCCCTGTGCTCAGACCCTGACTGTCTTGCTATCGTACTGAAAAAATCCTGCATTAAAAATAGAAAAAAGTACTGGCTACAAAGCTAACACCAGACCTTAATGTAATGGTGTCATTCTTCCATTTTCTTTCCCTGCAAACAGCGTCTCCCTCTCCTGCCCAGATCCTTCTGCCCCTGGGCTCTGCTCTCCCTCTTTATTCTCGGATGCTGAAGACTGAACTGTGCAAGTGTGAGATGACTTGTTAGTCTGCCTCCCTTTAAGGCAGCATTGGCCAGTGGCTAGGGCACTGGCCCGGGAGTCAGGAGCTCTGGATCCCATTCCCAGCTCTGCCACTGACCTGCTGTGTAACGCTGGGCAAGACCTTTTCCCACCCATGCATTCCTTTTCTGTCCTCTGTATAGAGTGCAAGCTCTTTCAGGGATTTTACACAGCACCTAGCTCACTGGGGTCGCCAGTTGTCATATAAACTGATGTTGAGCTTGAACTCCGGTGCATGTGTAGAGCGTTCAGCCCTGGTGACTTCAAGTACTGCTGGGTCTGTAGGAGCCACAGATGATTGCCCTCTTGCTGGGCTAGCCCTACAGGTGCTACAGGGCTGCTCAGGGCACTGTGGCCAGGGGGGCACTGTCTGAGTACCATAAGCTGGTAGGCCTGGATCTACCAGTGCAGGGGTGAATGCAGGCAAGCCCAGGGATGCAGCCTCTGACCAGCAGAGCAGGGGTGGGCGATGCTGCAAAGAGCTGCCAGCCTAGCAGGGAGGTGCAGGGGTCACCAGAGGCCCAGTCTCTGTATCCCCACTTCCCACAGACACAGGCAGTGGCCAGGAACCCACTGAACTCTTGCTAGGTAGTCGGGTAGCTCACAGGCTCAGAACCAGTCTCTGTATCCCCACTTCCCACAGGCACAGGCGCAGTGGCCAGGCACCCACTGAACTCTTGCTAAGTAGTCGGGTAGCCCACAGGCTCACACATTCCTCCCTGTGCAGCCCAGCCAGGCTTGGAGGCCAGAGGCTAGTCCTTGCTCCTTGCACCTCATACTGCTGTTCTCAAAGAATGGGTGCCAAAATGCAAGGTTGCCCAGGGTGCCATGTTCCCTAAGACTGGCATTTCTGAGACAGGAAGTGTGTCCTCTTGACTCAGGAGAAGAGCAGGAAAGACAAACCAGGTTAGTAGGAAAACGCTAATTTGTCAAACCCAAATGATTTAATGGATACCTGAAAGTAATCATATCAGGGTACAGCCACAACTCTAAAAATAGCTGTGTTGCCTGGAGCCAGGGGCCACCTGGGGGACAGAGCTGCTGCCTCTGTGTTGCATGAAAGTAGAATGCTTGCACCGTTTTACCTGACCACTTGCCACATTGTTAGGCTGTGTGGAAACTGCTCACTTCTGGAGAAAAGCAACCCTCCTCCCCCAGGCTGCCTGACCCTAAGGAAACAAAGCAATCTCAATAAACAAAAGGCGGAACGTGGGCAGGGAAGGAGGAGAAAAGCTATTGGTCGTAGCTTGGCAGTAATTGTTGTTACATGCATTTCTTTGCGAACACAACTGGAATTGAAACATTTTCAGACATGGCCATGGTTAAGCATTTGAAAACTGTCAGAAAATCCACCAGAAAACTTGCCCCAGGGTTGCTGTGATGCTCTTCTGAGATGACGAAAACTGTCAGAAAATCCACCAGAAAACTTGCCTCAGGGTTGCTGTGATGCTCTGTAGATGGGGGATCCCAAAACAAGAAGCTGCTGGGCAACAGAATGTCAGAAGAAATTCAGTGCTGATAAATGCAAAGAAATGCACAGAAGAAAACGTAATCCTAACTGCCCAAAATGATGGGGTCTAAATTAGCTGTTTCCATTTGAGAAGGAGATCTTGAAGTCATTGTGGATAATTCTCTGAGAACATCAGCTCAATATGTAACAGCAGTCAAAAAAAAAACCTAACAATGTTAGGAACCATTAAGAAAGAGAAATAATAAGTCAGAAAAATATCATAATGCCACATAATAAATCCATGGTATGTCCACATCTTAAACAGTGTACAGTCTGGTCATGCCACCTCAAAAAAGATGTAATAGAAATGGAAAAGATACCGAGAAAGGCAACAAAAATTAGTATTGGGGTAGAACTGCTTCCATACAGTGAGGTTAAAAAGACTGGGGCTTTTCAGCTTGGAAAAGAGGTGACTAAGGGGGCAAATGATACAGTCTATAAAATTCTGAATTGGGTGGCACAAGTGAAGAACAAAGTCCACGAAAACTCAGCGTCAGCCAATGAAATTAATAGGCAACAGGTTTAAAACAAGCAAAAGGAAGTACTTTGTACAATGCACAACCAACCTATGGAACACGTTGCAGGGGATATTGTGATGGCCTAAATGCACAACCAACCTATGGAACACGTTGCTGGGGATATTGTGATGGCCTAAATAACCGGGTTCAAAAAAAGAATTAGATGAATTAGTGGAAGATAGCCAGCGATAGACCTATTAGTTAAGGTGATTAAGGATGCAACCCCATGTCCTGGGTGTCCTAAGTCATTAACTGCCAGAAGCTGGGGTTGGATGACAGGGGAGTGGATCTCTCAATAATTGCCCTGTTCTGTTAATTCTTTCTAAAGCATGTGACACTGGCCAATCCAGCATTCCCTGTACGCTGAGCTCTTGGGTAGCCATTCAAAAGACATTCAAATGCCACCTAGCTGATTAGCAGAGCCCACACAGCCGGCATCATGTGTTTCTACTGGTGGTGCACATCCGCATATGCCTCAGTGCACACAACAAAATTGATTCCACAGTTGGATGAAAAAATTAGAGGGAACATTGCTAGCCACTGGTGGCTAGTGGGCTAGGTGGGCTATTGGTCTGCCACCGTGTGGTATTTCTTTTGTTCTCATACCAGAGCCAATGTGCGCATGCGCTTCATGTTATATGCCCTCCCCCCCCCAACATAAATAGTCCTCATCCAGAGCACTGAGCTAGGCTAGCCCCATTATCATTTGTATTTTGGACAATGAGCTAATTGCAACCTTGCTGTTATACCAGTCACTTTGGTGATGCTGCATGAGAGGTGAATGAGACGCAATGCTGTTGGGTTAACAAAATACTCAGACATGAGCCCTGGCCCTTGTCATATGCTACATCAAAAAAGATACACTGAATGGCTGCAGTCAGTCTGGAAACTTCTCCCATTTTCCTAGCATCATAACATACTCAGGGCCTATTCCTGTAGCCACAGGCCCATGCCTACCGCTTGCTGCTGGAGGGAGGAGAAAAGCTCCAACAGTCACTCACTGGAATGCCAACACCTTCAAATGGAGCCCTTCAGCACCAGCCAAGAGTGGGCTTTCCAATGATAGTGATAGCACTTAGCTGTGTGGCAGAATGGGCCAGGTCTGTAGACAGGGGATGCTTTGTATGCAGTAGTCAGGTAAGGGCAGCTTTTCAGTCAGTCGCAGCAAGGCCTCACAGACCTGATTCTAATGAGTACTTCAACATGAATGGACAGTGCCTGGTTATTTGGCTTTCTTTACATTGCCAGACAGCCGAATGAGGAATGAAGGAGCATGTATTGATGTAGGAATTGGGTAGTTGAGTCCAGGCAATGACATTGAATAGGAACGACATTGTGGATAATGACCTGCTGATTGCACTGCAGCTGTCCCTCTTTATCAGAATAGCCTGATTAAACCTTTGCTTCCAAACCATGACAGTTGTCTTAGTCATGCCCAATTAAATAGCCATTCAGCAAGAGTAGGGAAGAAAAAACCTACAGCAAACAAGTTTGCTCTTATCACTAGGGCTTTATTTTTGTGTGGGTTTTTGGGGGCATTGTCTGCTTGAACAAAAGCACCTCATAAAGGATTTCATTTCTCAATACCGTCCCTCATGGCCTGGCATGCTCGGGGAACACACAGAATGCCTGGCTGTGGTCCTACCCTGGGAGGGTTGTAGCTGCAAATGTGACCTCAGAGTCAAGTGCTGCAGGCACACAGATCGTTAGGGAGAGTCCTTTTAAATAAAAATGGCTAATGCTTTATGAGCTCCCCAATTGCTGTCGCTATTGGAAAGGCACATTCTAGTTTTAGCCCGGTGAATGCTGTGCTAAATGGTTAATGTTTCACCTTCAGTTTTGTCAACAGCTAGATGGTGGATCATGAGAATTAAAGAGGCTTACAGATGTCACAGCTGCGGCAGGGAGGGGAGGACTCAAAGGCTGGTAGTTTGTGTGACCAGCACAGAGGAGCATTGAATGACACACTTGGTTACTTTTTTTGCTCTTTCTTAAGCCAAAGGTAGAATTAATGGAAGTGATAAAATCCCAGGGTCAGGGTTGCTGCACACTGAAGTTTGGCATAGGCATGGTTGTGGTGAGGAAGAAGAATGGGCAGTGCAGGGGTTTAATAGTGATAATATTTAGCCATTTTCCTGCTCAAAGCACTTTACAGCCCTTGGTTAATGAATTTTTGCAGGAAGTAAGTCTTATCATCCCCACCTTTGGGGTGCAGAATCAGATTCCTTTTGTGGCATTGGACATCGCTGGCCTGTCTCCGTTTCAGAGTTGGGCTTCGAGGCCCCGGCTACAAAGCTTCCATTGAAATCGCCAGCCCTTGTTTTGGCTCAGATCCTCAGAACACACCGTGCCTCTTTAAGGAGAAATGCTTTCCACAACATTAGCTTTCCCTTCGCATTTCTCAGGTCACCCATCACCTCCGAACAGGAATATATTAGCCTAGACCCATAGCGCCCAGTCTTCAAAGGTATTTAGGTTCCTGACCCATGTGCAGAGGCCCTGGAGCTTAGTACCTGGGCCTATTGAAGCTAATGGGAGCAGGCTCAGGCCCACATTTCACTTTCTGAGGCATCCTAAGAACCCAAAGCTCTTTCAGTAAGTGGGTATGAAGGTGTATTAAGAGAAGTGGTGCTGGGAAACTTCAGGGCCACCTGCCTGGCTCTAGTCCCTGCTCATATCCTTCTTTCTTCCAGAAGCCCCACCCTTCAAACAAACAGATTAGATGATAAATAAGCAAGAGAGCATGCAGGATGGGTGCAGACTGAGTGAATTTGCTGTGGCACCAAGAGAAAATACTTGGAGGCCAATAGGGTGTATTAAGAGAAGTGGTGCTGGGAAACTTCAGGGCCACCTGCCTGGCTCTAGTCCCTGCTCATATCCTTCTTTCTTCCAGAAGCCCCACCCTTCAAACAAACAGATTAGATGATAAATAAGCAAGAGAGCATGCAGGATGGGTGCAGACTGAGTGAATTTGCTGTGGCACCAAGAGAAAATACTTGGAGGCCAATAGAGG